AGATATAATTGACATATAATATGTTGGTTTCAGGAATACAACATAAGGATTTGATATATATATTGCAAATGAGCACTACAATAAGTCTTAATAGTTAACTTCCATCCCCATACATAGTTTAAAAAAATATTTTTCTTGTAATGAAGACTTTATAAGATCTACTTTCTCGGGTCACCTGGGTGGCTCAGTTGGTTAAGCATCTACCTTTGGCTGAGGTTATGATCCCAGGGTCCTGGGATTTAGCCCCGCGTCAGGCTCCCTGCTTCTCCCTCTCCCTCTGCCATTCCCCCTGTTTGTGCGCTCTCTCTCAAATAAATAAATAAAATCTTTTTTAAAAAATCTACTCTCTTATGCAATATAGTACTATTAACTACAGTCACCATGCTGTACTAAACATTTCCATTATTTATTTATTTTCTATCTGGAAGTTTGTAACTTTTGACTGCCTTCACCCATTTCAAGATTCTATTTTAAAATTGAAAATATTTTATTAGTATACAGTTTCTGATATTGAATCCCTAATACTTTGCATTTTATTTTTACCATGATTATATATCAAAGATATAACTTTACCACCACGCCTTTTATAGATACTGTCAAATCCTTTTGTTTGCCCCAGTATGGTATTCAAATACTATCATTTTCTATGTTTGTCATAATGGGCAAAGATTGGAAGCACTGCTCTAGGATCTCAATCTCTCTCTTACCGTCCCTCTCTTTCTCTCTTCCTCCCCCTCCATCCCTTCCATAGCCCAACACTGAAACAGGTAATATACAAAATAACATCCTCAGGGTCACACAAGCCACCAGAAACAGGAAATGAATCATTTGTGATGGGAACAAATTCTAAACTGAAGTCTAATGGAGCCAAGCTGCTCATGATCACTTTTCCATGTGCGACGTTCTCTTTCAGTCGTTCTCCCTCTTCCCTCCCACTTGGCAATCAGGAATACCTCCTGATTTGGAATGGAGGGTTACCTACAATCAAGGAATAACCTAGTGGGCACTAGGATGGGGCTTGGGGTAAAGGAAGTATGGAGTGGTTAACTGAGGTCAGCTCTGCTCTTAACTATAATGTCAAAACCTAAGGACACAGGGCCAAGGATCAGGCCATCGGACTTTTTTTTCCTGATCAGCTTTTTAAGTCCTAAAGGAAAGAGCCAAGAGGGCCCTCAATGCCTACAAAGCATCTAACTCAACTGGCCAAGGTAGAAGACCAGTTAGGGGTTAGGGCCCAAAGTTCAAGCCAGCAACAGAGCACATTGTTTGGAGAATCTATGCTCATGTGTCTCGAGGACCCAGCAGAGGAGGCTGCTGCCACAGTCAGCAATGGTGAAAGGTGAGGATCTTGGTCACCATCTGTCCTGATCTTCAACTCTAAATATTTGAGTGTCTACTGTACATTTTCACACAGATATACTATGGACACTGCTAGCTCAATAGGACTAACACTGAACTTATTGTGCCTACCTACCTTTAAACAAAAGCTCTTTCTTCCCTCATATCCCCTCAGTTGGACGTCAGCCCCACTCACCCAGTCACTTTGACCAGAGAGTATTGGGAGTCATCACATTTTCATTGAAACATAACTCATATCCCCCCTCTCACCTGGATTATTGGAAGAGTCTCCTCACCAGTCTCTCTACCTCCATCCTCTGCCCATTTCAATTTACCTTCAATCTTGTCTACAAAGTCACTTTTCTAAATTGCCAATCTGGCCATATTATTCCTTGCTTATAAAGCTTTGATAGCTTCTTTTGCCTGTAAGATAAAATCCAAATTCTCTCATATGGTGTAAAAGGCTTTTCATTTCTTGGGCCGCCTACTTCTCTGGTCTCCTCCTTTGCCAATTTGTCAACGACCCAACACGTATGAAGTCCTACCTTCTGTACTACCCCCTCTGGTGGGAGGCTCAGCTCTTGAAACCCACCTGAGGATCACCTGCCCATCTCCGAATATGGCTCAAACTCTGACTCCACCCAAAGAGAATTACCCCCTCCTCTCTATGGTCCTCATGGTACCATATAGATCAGGGGTACTCTATCAGAAGAAATTTTGTCCCTATTGGATACTTGGCAATGTCTGGAGACATTTTTGGTCACTGAAACTGAGAGTTTCACTTTATCACACCTGATTACACATCTGTTTCTCCCTATTAGGCTACAAATTCCTCAAGGGCAGGCCCCATATCTTACCTTTACGTCCTCAGAGGTGAGCAGGGCTAAACACATAGTAGGTGCTCACTAAGTACCTGTGAAGTGAATTAATGAGAGAAAAGTCAAGTCAGTCTTATCTCACCACTGTGCCTAACAAGCCAACAACTGCATCTCCAGACAAACAAGGTGGGGACATAGATGCACAAGATCAGTATAGTTAGGAGAAGTGGGTCTGGCAGAAATGCCTTCAGTTATGACCAACTACTCGGCCCATAAAGGTCGAAATAGTCACCTTTCTCATGTCTTCTATCTCCTCACCACCTCCCTTATTAACCCATGTGGTCACCAAATTCTGTTGATTCTCTACCTGAGAAATAGCTCCCACACCTTGGCCATCGCCATGGTCAAAGCCCCCCACCAGCTCCTATCAGCACCCCTTTTCTGTGCCCTCTTGCTTGGCTTCTCTGCCATCTACAAATTGAGAAAGTCAAATTAAGTCCCTGTAGTTTCTTCCAGCTCTAAAATGATAAGATTTGCAATCTTATCCAGTGACAATGAATTCCAGGTTTTCCATTAAATAATTCATATAAGTCAATATTCCTTCCATTTATCCATATATGGATATAAAATTTCAAAACACTAAACAGGAATAATTATAATTTAGAAAGCCTTAAAACCATCCATGACTTTATGTCTTGGAAACAAACTCGAAAGTCAACAACTGTAATTGGTCCTCCCTACCTAGTAACCCCCTCACAGATGCCAGTCTCATAACAAATCCAAACAAGGAGTAAAGTATTAAGAGTACAAAAACGTGTACATGCACTTTCAACCAAGGGATGAGCAATACTTTCAATTAAAAAGGAATCTAAAAAGAAAACAGCAACATCATTGTAAGAACAGTGAGCTAGGGAGGGACTCATTCTGCTACCTCAGCACTCCCCAACCCCTCCACCTTTCGGAGATTCTGGGTTGACCTTTTTCGAAGGAATGTGATGGTCTTTCTCGGATATCGTCATTGCCATCCATAACCCCGACAGCATTGTGTTATAAGCAGGCCCTTGTATTACTGTTATGTGTGGATACAGAAAACGAAGTACAGATTATGTAACTTATCCATGGTCCCACAGCAGGTCCCACTTATGTAATTTATCCAGGTCCCACAGGAGATTGAGAAGAAGCACCCAACATGCACTCCAATGCCAAGTAGGACCTTTTTCTCAACAGTTTTTCTCCTGCAAGAAATCCCTCTATCTTATTGGCAGACAGGGTGCAGTTTTGAGATTATCATTTGGCCAATTACTGGAGTAAAAATTGAGGTGCAAGTTTATTTTAGGAATGTATAGCTAGAACCCCAGATCAAATTAATTCACAAGAGAATCAAAGGCTGAGAAAAAATAATAAACGCTACAATCAGTTTCATGCTTTTCTGAACAGGGAAATCTTTACAGGATGATAAACTGTGTTTAATTGTAACTGTTAATTTGAGTGAATATTAAGTAATCATGATACTTTTTCCTCTATGGGCCCAATTCAGCTTCTGAATTTTTCTCAATGTCGTTCTCTAGGCAGGAACTACTAATTGAGTCAGGCACTCAGAGGAAACATTTGCCTCCCTTACGTCACCCATACAATAATCAGGTTTAGAGAGAAAAAACAAATCTATTTAAATTACTTTATTATCAATCTTGTAAATATAATTGTAAAATAATTATTTTATTCCCAGTGGCCTAACTTGGAATATATGGAAGAAAGTAGTGGAATGGTTTTCCAGAGCCATGTAAGTTACTTCGGTCCCTTTAATAAGGTTTTTGAGAGGAAAACCTGTGTGAACTCAGTAGATATTGAAAAATACAAATAAACGAACCTTATTTCTGCCATCCTGATCTGAGCTGTTGGAGTAGAATCATAAATCTCGAATTTGAAGGGTTACCCATTCAGTGAGAAACAAGTGATCAATAGAGGGTAAAGGATAAATAAATGTATTCCATGTTTCAAGTTCCTCAGAAGCAAGTGGGGCAGCCCCCCTCCCCCCAGTTCGCTGATAGATGGAGCTTGGCCAATGAACCTTGACAAAGTCCAAGTCCTGCCTTCATCAAGGAGGCATGCGAACAGAGCCTAGCCAAGGGCAAAAGCATCCCTTTCCTAAAACAAAAGTTAAACCCCTTCCGTTCTGATTCTTCAAGAAGCATTACATCAACAGGCTTAAGCATTAGTAAACACAATAATAAGCTAATAAAAATAAATATAAATGCAAATACGAGAGAGAGTGTATGTGAAAGAGAAGAAAGGGGCCTAAAAGAGTTTTCCTTTTAGGAAAGAAAACTCCCTCCCCCCCCCCCCCAACCTTTTGAAATGTGAATCCTCCCAGGAGTAGTCCGCCGACACCAATACCTCTTGTTTACAAAGCATCAGCAGAAAGAGTAAGGCCAGGATATAAAATAAATGAGGGCGAGGGGGGAGAGGCGCCCTCGGGAAGCCTCCAGGAGGATAAGGGGGCGCTTGGGGACCCTAATTCGTCGACCTCCTCTGTTCCCTCCAGCTGTCTAGCGCTGCACGAGGACCACATTCCCTAGTTCCTACGACGTTCACAAATCCCGCGCGGAGCCCCCCGCACTTTCGGCGATTTGCGGGCCCCCGGGGTGGGGCAGGCAACTTGAACCTGCTTTACAGCTAGATCGTCGTCTGTAGAAACCCATGTTCAAACACCACGAGGCGGCACACGGGCTTCACACAGACGCGTCGCGGGAGATCGCCCGAGTCTGGGGGCTGGAAGGGCCCGCGGTCCCGCCTCCCGGCGAGCAGAGCCCCCGCCCCGCGCCCCGCCCCACGCCCGCCCGCGGTCATTACCGTCCGGGGTCGCGCCCGCGGGTCACTCCGCCCGGACAGCGCTCCCGGGCCGGCCCCCGACGATGGAGAGGAGGGCTCGGAGCTCCTCCAGAGAGTCCCACGGGAGAGGCGGCGGGTCCCCCCACAAGGAGAACAAGAGGGCGAGGGCGGAGAGGGGCGGCGGAGGCCGTGGGCGCCGGGACGCAGGGCGCGAGCGGGCGGGGAGTCGGGGGGAGTCCCCCGCGCCCGCAGCCACCGTGGTGGACGTGGATGAGGTCCGGGGCTCCGGTGAGGAGGGCACCGAGGTGGTGGCGCTGCTGGAGAGCGAGCGGCCCGAGGAAGGTACGGCAGGTCGGGGATGAGGGAGGCGGGGTGGCCTTTCCACGTGGTACCCAAGGGATGGCCCATCGAGGGAAACGAGTCACGGCGCTGAGAGCCACCGAGGCCAGAGCAGCCTCCTGGACCTGCTCGGATTCCCAGGAAATGAAAGGCCTGAGTTAGGACCCGCGGACGTCCTGCCCAGTGTGGGGACCCAAATACATCAGAAGAAATACAGATAACATCAACTAAATACCGTTGGTCTCAGAGGCGAGCCATGGATAGGAAGTGGGAGGGAGAGTGGTCCAGGTTGGGGAGCAATGAACACTTTTGGCAAAGGAATCTTGCATGGGTTTTTGTGGCCAAGGAAGAGTATATGGGCACCTAATTTAAGTAAAACATGAATGAACTGGTGGTTCTGGGCAACTGGGCAGCTTATTCTCCTCTCCTCATCCCCACCCCTCAGTCTTACCTAAAAGTATTTTAAACTTTCTTTGGGGTGATCCTTTGGCCTCAGAGCCAAGTGGAGAAGAGCTAGACCTGAATTTAAATCTCAGCTCGCTAGCCATTGATCAGAGGTGGGGCCTTAACCAGCTATGCTAGGGGGATGACCACAGTACCTACCTCGGAGGGTAGGTGTGAGGATAAGAGGAGATATACCATCCAAAGCACTTTGCACAACACTTGGAGCAAAGAACAGACCCAATTTGAACAGAACACTTGCAAGCTAAAATAGAGGAAAGTTAGACCAAAGGAGGGAATCACGGGGAAAAATATCTTTTTGGCTTCTGTGGGTAAAGCAACTCTTAGGAACAAATTTATCTGCTTCCAGTCCTTTTTTGTAGTGAATGGAAGAAAAAAATTCATCACACCTTAAGTGTAGAATGACAGTGGTCTCAAGGAAAGTCAGTAAGGAATTGTGTGTTATTTGGTTTCTGAGGGCTATGAAATTTTAACATCATTTCCTGGTTACCAGCAATGCAGTATATGCAGGAACATTGAAAGGTACGATTTGACAAAGATTCCTACAGTTGGGGTGCAGTTTGTATGGACCATGTTAATGCCCTTTTGCCCAATGGATGCCCTTTCATCAGTCAGAAACTTCCAGGCATTAAAGGTTTGTTAGGTTCAATGCTACAGTATTGCTGAGGTGAGAGGTCTTGTAACTGTGTGTCAGACCACATCGGTTGGGGTGAGCCACGAAGGGAGCCCCCATGTGTGGAGTCTTTACTATGTGCCAGGCACACACTGGGTGTTGTACTGAGTATTACTGTTTCCGCATCACTGACCGGAAAACATGCGGGGAAATTAAGTACCTTGCCAGAGACCTACAGCTGGAAATGGAAGGGCCAGAATTCCAGAGTAAGATGGCCTGACCAAAAAGCCCATCCTTGAAAGGTGCTGCCCCTGCTTCCGGGTCACGGTCCCAGCACTGCCACCAGCTGTGTGGCCTCAGGCAAGGAGTGTCACTTTTGTGGGCCTCACTCAGTCTCTCCAGCTATAAAGTGACTAGAACCCAAGACCCCAAGCAATAGATGAGAAGTCCCATTGAGGCCTTGCTGAGCCCTTGCCTGGGAAGTTTCTGTGGCTTCCAGGGGCCCCGGAAGCAAGAGGAGCAACAACACCTCCTTCTCCTCACCTCCCACCAGGCTCCTTAAGACTTGGGAGAGATGAAAGAGCTCCACCTTACCAAAATGTTGGAGATTCTTAGACTATGTCATATCTAAGGCTCTTCCTGCCCTAACATTTAATATTTCACTATTCATGTAAACTGAACAATGTGAATATTCAAGGAACTCATTCCAAGAGAACAGTACTTTGTGAGTAAAGCTGTAAGTTAAATTTGGGGTATAAATATTAGTTTTTTGTTCACATCTCCAACTCTTATGTGAAGGCATTTTGAGGCCTTTCTTCCTTTATAAAATGCTATTTTGTCTGTATATGTATTTCTTTTTACTTGCCATGGTTACCACTGGCAAGTGAAATATGTATAAACTAATTAAACATGGCAATACCACCCTTATTGTCCTTAAGGAAGAATATTGTAAAAACTAACATGGTGTTGATAGAGTAGCATTTCCCAAAATAGATTGCATGAGAAATAAATTTTATGGATCATGAATTTCCTTGGAGAAAACAGTGCCTTGTCAAATGTTTGGGAAATCCTGGGTTAAACAAAGCTAAGAATGCTTCTTTACTGCAGGGATTCCCCTCGCCTCAAAATGCAGATGAGCACTAGGGAGCTCTAGAAGTAGGACACAGAACACAGGATTTCCTAAACTTGTTTTCCCAGGGAACTCTTGCTTTGCAGAGCACCCTGTGGGATTAGTGTTCTGTGGGACACACTCCGGGAACTACCATACTATAGCATTTAGCACTGATGTTAGTTTTGGGCTGATGCAGCTTGTGTACCAAGTGATCAATTTGGTGATGATCCTTCCAATTATTTTCCAAGCACAGAAGTCAAATATTCAAGCCTACCAACTAGTTTTCCTCTTTTTCCCCCATCCCTTAAAATTAGGCTTTTCACCTTCCTAATCTTTAGTCAACACCTGTATGATGTTTTTAAACTCACAAATAGTATCCGTTTGGCCAGTTTCCCAGTACCTAGAGATTAATATTCTTGAGGTTTCCATAACTGTTACATTTAAATAATTTTTTCTATCCACTCCTTCATCCTTACAATTCAACAAATATTTATGGAGAACCTCTATTGTGTCGGACACTATTCTAGGCCCTGGGGACACAACGTAAATAACCCAGGAGGCTTGTGTTCTTGAGATTAACTTTCCCTGAAACGTTTTCATTTATCACTCAAGCAACATGGACATTCTGCAGTCCAGTTCCTCATTACTTTTATTTACAGACACTACTAGGCTAATATTACCCCAGAGAGATGATTTTTCAAAGACTGCCTAGAGATCCACACCCTAATCCAAAGAAGGGACTCTAATGGAGGAATTTGAGACGTTTGGGGCAGGTGGTAGACGGGGAAGTCATTTCAGGGAAGGTGAGCCTCTGCACACATGTGGTTTGAATCACTTCAGAATCAACACCTGATACATGGTAAGCACACTTCAGTGATTTTCATGTATATACGAAATTTCATACATCAATGCTGTGAAGATTATCTCGTGAGAGAGCTATGAGATAGTTATTATGAGCTAGTTAGCATCCCCACTGTGGAGATGAGGAAACACGTTTGAAGAGTTCATATGCCTTGCGTAAGGTCACTGGACAGAAAATGGTGGAGCAGAACTCGAACCCAGACCCTCTGCCCAGATTCTGTGCTTCTTCCAGGTACCCCACTACTGCCTTTCCAGAAGCCTGCTCCACCTTCCACAGCCCCACAGAGCCCTTCACAGACAATGTCCCGTCATGTGAACTGACCAGTGATATCCAGCTCCCTCTAAATTTCCAGCAAAGTCTACACACTGCTGTGATCCTCCTACCAAGAACTGGACCAACAAGTACTACTGGTCAGTGAGTATGGTAACATTCTAATATAATTATTCTTTTCCTTTTTTTTTTTTTTTTTTTTTTTAGGTACCAAGTCTTCAGGTTTAGGGGTCTGTGAGTGGCTCCTTGTCCTCACATCCCTGCTCTTCATCATTGTGACCTTCCCTTTTTCGATCTGGTTCTGCATAAAGGTAAGACTTCTTGAGAACCCAATAAGGAATTTCCTTGTGCCTCTCAGTGACCCCAGGTCCACTCCACTGTGACTTTGTATGTGCTGTCTGTTCCACATGGAATGGCCTCACCTCCCACTCCTCTGCCAGGAGAGCTCTTATTCCTTTCAGACCTTGCTCTCATGTGACTGTGAAGCCTTCCTTGACTCCCCCAGACTATCACTTCCTTCCTTGTGTTCTTGTCTCTCTGCTTTCATATCCATTCCAGCACTTACCGCGCGTATACTCTTTGTCGACACCCAATCTCTCCCATTAGACTGAGAGCCCTCAGGTCAGGGTCTACGTCTAGGTCATCTGCATCCTGCAACACAGAGGTCAGCCCAGAATAGATGATGGTGTCCACTTCTGGCACTCTAGGAAACCTCTCAGGCAGCTTCTATTCCATGAACGACGATTTGGCCCACAGGTGGTTACACATGCCTGTCCCTGAAGTAAATGAAGGCCATGTCTGTTCGGGAAGCACATGCCAAGACAGAATTCGAAATGCAAGGGATTTATTGGGAGGCACTGTCTGTGAAAGATTAAGGGGAGAGAGAATAAGAGTAGGCAGAGGGAGCCTTCAGACAATGATGCAGATCTGACACCTGCGCTCTGAGAAGTGAAGGAAGGATAGGACAGAAGGAGCCTCCGACTAGGGTGTAGTGTTGGCCAGCCTGAGAGGGAACTCCAGAGCAAAGTCGGCTTCAAGGAGGAGTTTCCTGATGGGCAGAAATGGCTGGGCCCGAATACCCCCGCCATTGTTATCATTGGCTGGGGCTGCTGGGGAAGAGCATGTCCTTGGCTAGAAGGCTACAGGTGCTGCTGGGGCCATTGCTGATTGCACTCCTCATGCAGGCTTCTCTCCCCATCCTCCCCCTCCTCCCTTCCTCCTCCCGTCTTCCTCCCCCTCCTCCTTTCTCACAAAAGGGTGTTGATTTTGTCCAGTGTCTTTTCTGCATCCATTGAGACAAGTGGTATTTTCCCTTTATTCTATTGAGATGGTGTATTACATTCATTGCATTTTGGATGTTAAACCAACTGTGTGTTCCCGGTATAAACCCCACTTGGCTATGGTGTCTAATTCTCTTTTTATGGTCCCAGATTCAGGCTGCTGGTAGTTTGTTGAGGGTTTTAAGATTCTATATTCTTAAGAGATATTGGTCTGTAGTTTTCTCGGGATGTCTCTCTCTTGTTTTGGCATCAGGGTAATACTGGCCTCAGAGAAAGAATTGGACAGATTTCTGTCCTTTTTGGTTTTTTGGGGAGAATCTGTGAAGGACTGGTAGTACTTTCTTGTTAAATGTTTGGCACAATTCACCAGTGAAACCATCTAGTTCTGGACTTTTCTCTGTGGGAAATTTCAAAACTGCTAAGTCAGTCTTTTACTTCTGGGTCTTTTCAGGGGTTTTTTTTGTTTTTGTTTTTGTTTTTCTCAAGCCAGTTTCGGTAGTTGCATCTATACAGGGATTTGTCCATTTCACCTAAATTATATCTATTTTGAGGCATATAGTCTTTCATAGTATTTTCTTTTATAATCTTTTTTTTTATTTCAGTAAGGACAGTAATGATGTTCCTGTCATTCCTTTTTCATTCCTGATTTTGGAAATTTGAGTCTTCTTTTTTTTCCCCGTGGTCCATTTAGCTAAATATTTGTCAATTTTGTTGATCTTTTCAAAGAACCAACTTTGGTTGATTTTCTCTATTATTTTTCTATTTTCTATTGCATTTATTTCCACTCTAATCTTCCTTATTTTCTTCTTTCTGCTTGCCTTAGGGTTAGTTTGCTCTTCTATATCCAGTGTCTTATGGTAGACAGTTCGGGTTTTATTTTGAGTATTTCTTCTCTTTTATCATAGGCATCTACAGCTATAAATTTTCCTCTAAGCACTGCTTTAGTTGCATCCCATATGTTTTGGTGTCTGTGTTTTTGTTTTCATTCAGCTCAAAATATTTTCTAATTTCTCTTTTGATTTCTTCTTTGATCCATTGGTTATTTTAGAGTACGTCATTCAGTGTTTTTGTTTTTTTTTTTAAGATTTTATTTATTTATTTGAGACAGAGAGAAAGAGAGAGAGCACATGAGAGCGGGGAGGGTCAGAGGCAGAAGCAGGCTCCCTGCTGAGCAGGGAGCCCAATGCGGGACTCGATCCAAGGACTCGATCCAAGGACTCGATCCAGGGACTCGATCCAGGGACTCCAGGATCATGACCTGAGCCGAAGGCAGTCGCTTAACCAACTGAGCCACCCAGGCGCCCCATTCAGTTTCTATATATTTGTGAATTCCCCAAACTTCCTTGTTAATGATTTCCAATTTCATTCCATTGTAATCAGATAATATACTTTGTATAATTTCAATAGTTTTAAATTTATTGAGGTTTGTTTTATGACTAGCATTTGATCTATCCTACAGATGTCTCATGTGTTCTTTTTATTCTTTTAAAGATTTTTACTTATTTGAGAGAGTGAGAAAGAGAGAGCACCAGAGGGGAGAGAGTCAGATGGAGAATCAGACTCCCCACTAAGCAGGGAGCCTGATGCAGGGCTCAATCCTGGTACTCCGGTATCATGACCTGAGTCAAAGGTAGACGCTTAACCAACCGAGCACCCAGGAGCCCCGATATTTCATGTGTTCTTGAGAAGAAAGTGTATTTTGCTGTTGTTGGGTGTTGTGTGTAGATGTCTGTTAGGTCTAGTTTGTGTATCATGTTGCTCAAGTCTTATTTCCTTGTTTATCTTCTGTCTAGTTGTTCTCTACATGATTGAAAGTGGAATATTAAATTCTCCAGCTATTTTTGTTGCTTGAATTGTCTATTTCTCCCTTCAGTTCTTTTGGTTTTTGCTTCTTATATTTTAGATCTCTGTTTTTAGGTACATGTATGTTCATCATTGTTATACTTTCCTAACACATTGACCCTTTTATTGTTATACAATGTCTCTCTTTATCACTAGCACATTTTTGTATTTGTTTTAAATTCCATTTTGTCTTGGGACCTGGGTGACTCAGTGGGTTAAGCATTGGACTCTTGATTTTGACTCAGGTCATGATCTCAGGGTCCTGGGATTGAGCCCCACATCAGGCTCTGTGCTCAGCCGGGAGTCTGATTGAAGATTCTCTCTCCCTTTCCCTCTGCGCCTCCCCGTGCGTGTGTGTTCTCTCTCACTCTCTAAAATAATTAAATAAATCTTTAGGGGGGGGAAAAAAAGATGGTAAACCCTAAAAGTCAATTAGGTAGAGGATACTAAAGCAGAATGATGTGTAACATTTGACCAAGGTCTTGAAGGAGTAAGGCTCCTCTGCATCTCTAGGAAGAATTTGTTTCTCCCAGTAAAAGCAGAAATGAAACAAGTAATGCCAGGGAGCCAGGAAATCAGGGATGCCTGGGGCCTGCTCTGGGAACCAAATCTAGGCATTCATTCTCATTCATTGTTTCAACAAACAAGGCAAGATTCAGGCACAGGAGTTGTAAACCTTGGAAGGATCAACAAGACCTGGTACTTGACCCCAAGGGACTTACAGTGGGGTAGGGAGCCTGTTCCCTTAGGAAGCACACTTCAAAACGTGTTACTTTTGGTCTCTTCATGACATTTTCATATTTGACTAATTATCATTCAGTGGAGCTTTCTAAAGTGGAGGGAAGATGAAGAAGGAAAACATGTCTACAGTCACAAATAATCCATTTTTTCATTCAACAGAAGTTCACGGGTGGGGCATATATACAAATAAACAGACCAAATAAGCTAATGATAAGCAAGTAGTAGGACCCAGATTTTGGGGCACCGGGGTGGCTCAGTTGTTGGGCGTCTGCCTTCACCTCGGGTCATGATCCCAGGGTCCTGGGATCGGGACCCGCATCGGGCTCCCTGCTCCGTGGGAAGCCTGCTTCTCCCTCTCCCACTCCCCCTGCTTGTGTTCCCTCTCTCGCTGTGTCTCTCTCTGTCAAATAAATAAATAAAATCTTTAAAAAAAAAAAGAACCCAGATTTTGATACTGGGCCAGAAAAATGAAGTTTATTTTTGAAGTAGTGTGTGTTAACGTTCCTGTTTCTCTCCTAACATGGAGACATTTCTACACAGAGAATCTCCCTTTTTGTCGTTTAAAAATAACTACATATTTTCAGGGCACATTTAATTTTTCTAGATACAGTCACCAATGAGAATTGGCAAATTGAAATCCACATGAATCATTTTGAAGCAACCTCAGAAGAAATTGCTGTTTGAAACAAATAGCTATTTAATAGCTATTTCTATTAAATAGCGAATGTGGGATCCATATAAAAGCTAATAATGGCAGAAGTCACAGCAAAATACAAGATTAAACATGCTGTGATTTTCTTGATTTCGAATGTCGGAGGTAGTAGAAGCATTATTTTTTTAGATAATCATGACTCTTTAATCAAAATTCTGTTCATGGGCTCTAAAATTAACATGGCCAATATACTTGCACGGGTTTCTGAAGTTCTACACTTACTAAGTGTAGATTTTGGAAATGTAAATATTAATAGAAATTTTTTCTTGGTTCTCAAAACTAAAGTTTTCTGGTATCCAGGATCACGCTCGTGTGCCAAGTCCTTTTGAAGACTTTATTTTTCTTTCTTGGAGTGTTTCAAAAGTATTATTTTTCCCTTTAGGTTGTACAAGAGTATGAGAGAGTAATAATATTCCGACTGGGACACCTGCTTCCTGGAAGAGCCAAAGGCCCTGGTATGAAACACCCTTCTACCCCCCATAGACTTGCCAGTTTCTTCAATCCGTGCATATTTGTAATATGGACCTCAGATTATATGACATAACCTGATTTGTGATATCTGCATTTTCTAATCTGTTACTTGTAACACAGGTTATGAAAGATTCTTCAGAGAGCATTACTATCGGGTAACAGTGGCCAAGAAGGAGGCTGGGTGCAGAGTCAAGTGCCGGGGCCAGGCTGGCTAGACTAGCAAGTAGGCTTAGGACCCATGGCTGGGCACTGGTTTGAGCAGAACATGTTTTGGTTAGAGTGCTGAGCAAAGCTGAGCTAGTTCAGATACAGGGGGTCAGACCAAACCATGGGAGATAGGAAAAGTCCAGCATCCGAGTGACAAATTGGCCTTTGGTTCATGGAATTTAGAAAACATAGATGGAGCACTTCCTGTGTCTTAGATATTGTATAACTGCCCAGGAGGTGAAGATGGATAAATGAGATGGTTTCTGATCTCTAGGACCTTAAAGTATAGTGGAGTTGATGTCCAGAGGTCCAAGCACAGATAGAAATATGGTTAGTCCACAAAGTCTAAAGTAGTTGGGGTTTGGAGATTCCAGCTAGCCAGAAAGGCAAGGGAAGGAGCGAAGTCCCAGGTGCATATATTGGAAGTTCCAAGCCAGCTTTACAGAAACAAGTAGAGAACAGAGACTAGACCAGAAGACACAAATCTGAGTTTGACAATTCAGAACAAACAGACGGATCCACGCAAAAGTAGAGCCAGACCCTGTGGTCTAGGACAGGGACCATCTTGTTCTGGTTCTAGTTTTCTGCATCCTTCTTTACTGGGGCTAGAAAGGGCTAGTAGCTGGGCTGCTCCTCAGAGAGGTCCTGGGCTCTGTGAGGTGCTGCTTGTTGGCTCTTCCAGGAGCCCACACTGCCCAGTGGCTCTCAGAAAATCTCAATAAATCAATTTAAAAATACTGCACACTGACCTTGTATATGACATTAGGTAACATGAAGCTGGTATCAAGATATTGCTATTGTGATACCCTCTGGGGTTCACATTTTAAGAAGTACCACATGGAGGTTGCCGGCTCTAAAGTTGGTCATGTTGGTACACGCATGGATTCAAAAATAATTTTACAAGTCAAGCACTAAAACTAACGAGGGTGCATGAGACACTCTCGTTAGGGAGTTAAATCTAGTGAAGAAGACAGACATGTTACTCAAGATCTGGAGGGGTTAGCACCATGACCAAGGTGACCATACAGCCCATTTTGCTGGGATTAATCCCCACTTATGTCTGTTGTCCTGGAGTAAGTTGTAACAACGCTCACCTTTCACCCTCAAAAGTGTTCTAGATTGAACAAAAAATTGTCTGGTAACTTTAGCAACCACAAACTCACTATCAGGATAGAGGTGGGATTGCCCAATCAGTCTGTGTGTAGTTGGAGGCTAAGGAAAGCAATGCAATATGCAACCTCACCCCGAAGAGGTGAACCCCAAACAATCTCCATACTAACCATTCACCTGTCAATTTCTCCACCCCCCTCTTCTAGGCCTTTTCTTCTTTTTGCCCTGCCTGGATACCTACCACAAGGTTGACCTTCGCCTCCAAACTTTGGAGATACCCTTTCATGAGGTAAGTCAAATGATGGATTTTGCTTTCTCTCTACGTTTTGTATGGCTGAGCTACCAATTCTGGTCCAAGTCAAAATGACTATTTAAGCTCAAAAGTCGAAGAGGAAAGTAGAGATATGGATTGTATCAAAATTAAAAACTCCTGTGTATCAAAGGACACAATCAAAAGACTAAACAGATAACCTATGGGTGGGAGAAAATATTTGCAAATAATACTTCTGATAAGGGATTAATACCCATGATATATAAAGAAATCTTACAAATCAACAAGAAAGCAAACAACTCACTTAAAAATGGGCAAAGGACTTTGTGATGGTTAATTTTATGTGTCAGCTTGGCTAGGCTAGCTTCCCCTTTTATCAGAGTGTATCCTTTCAAATTTTTCTATGTATGTGGTTATATTTACAGGCAGGTGGACATATCATACTATTTCATAACATGTCTTTTTTCCCTCAATACTCTGTTGGATCATGTTTTCATATATTAGCTATATTTCTACCCCTTTGTCTTATTTTTTTTCAAGATTTTATTTTTAAGTAATCTCTACACTCAACATGGGGCTTGAACTCACAACCCCGAGATCAAGAGTCGCCTGCTCTTCCCAATGAGTCCCCCAGGCGCCCTTTGTTTTAAATGGACACATAGCATTTCAATGTATGGATGTACCACAATTCACAATTCCCTGTTGTGAATATTAATTGATTTCTAATTTTTTATTATAATAAACAATACTATGAATGACATCCTTGCAGCTAAATCCTTAAAAATATGTCCTTGTGATAAGTGTCTAAAAATGGAAATGTTGAGAATGAGCAGCTTTTAGGTCTCTTGGTGTGTAGCACCAGTCTGCCCCCTAGTGGACACTCAGCAAACAACATCAGAGCACTTGTTTCCCAGAACGTGCTTCTCTTTTAAGCACATTTTTTGGCATCGGTTTTTGTTTTTTTTTTAAAGATTTTTGTTTTATTTATTCAATTGACAGAGATACAGAAAGAGAGAGAGCATGAGCAGAGGGAGAGGGAGAAGCAGGCTCCCTGCTGAGCCAGGAGCCTGATGTGGGGTTTGATCCCAGGACCCCAGGATCATGACCTGAGCGAAAGGCAGATGCTTAACCATCTGAGCCACCCAGGTGCCCCTTGGCATCAGTTTAAAAAGACCTGATATACAATTAACTGAATGTTTTTGTCTAAGAAAATTATTCCTGATATTTTTACAAAACTATTTACAACAGGATTCCTTTAAATTGTGAGTTCTTTAGTGTATTTCATAAAAACTCCAGAATCTTCAAAAACACATCTATTTCGAATAAAAGGGTGGGCCAACAACTCTTTTTTTTTTTTTTCCTATAATCTTACTGAGAAAATTTCCCTTGAACACATTTAGCTTCTCTATCATCCCCCTGGGAAAAGAGCACTAAACTAAGTCCTGTTCGGGACGCCTGGGTGGCTCAGTCGGTTAAATGGCTGCCTTTGGCTCAGGTCATGATCCCAGGGTCCTGGGATCGAGTCCCACATTGGGCTCCCTGCTCAGTGGGGAGTCTGCTTCTCCTTCTGCCTCTGCCCCTACCCCTTCTTGTGCACTCTCTCTGTCTCTGATAAATAAATAAAAATCTTAAAAAAAAAAAAAATCATGTTCTCCAAACTCTTTTTTCTGCCCAGGTTGTGACCAAAGACATGTTTATAATGGAGATGGATGCCATCTGCTACTATCGAATGGAAAATGCCTCTGTCCTCCTAAGCAGTCTTGCTCACGTGCCCAGAGCTGTCCAATTTCTTGTGCAGACCACCATGAAGCGTCTCCTAGCACACCGATCCCTCACTGAAATTCTTCTAGAGAGGAAGAGCATTGCCCAAGATATAAAGGTACTTCAACAAATTTATCATCTAATATGTTGAAATACCTCTTTCTCTTTTATTCATTTCTTCATCGGTCATTTATTGAAGCACATGCAATGGAAGCATCTGGCAGGCGTTCACTGTTGAAGGTACCATCCCTCAAGGAGCTGACAGCTGAGTGAGAGGTTGCCAGACTGACCCTGAGTCAACCAGGTGATGACTAGTCAGTCATTGCCACAGGTTCTGCCCTTCATCCCCCCACCCCAGTGGCTCTACACTCACTGGAACGTGCCCCCAGAGCCCAAAGAGAGCTGGCAGGGAAGATGGGGCCACGTGGGACACGGCTGGTCCCACAGACATGAGAAGGCATGGTTCCTGGGAGCTGACAGTCTAGCTGGGGAAACAGGCAAAGTTAGTTCAAATAAGACTTTCAGCTAAAAAGAAAATGTCACAGACCCTTACATGATTAATCTCCCAATCAATCACTGAGATTTAATTGATTGGGAATTAGGGAGGGAATCGAGGAGCAGGAAGTGCCTCACGGGCAGCCCCATCCAGCCGCCAGGCGGCAAGCTCAGCCTCCTCACCCTCGGCCACAGTGAGGGAGCCTGTCGTGGGGGCCACAGGCTCCCTGGCCCAGAATCGAGTCAGGAAGGTCGGAATGTTGTCTTGCCGAAAGGAGGACCTCCAGCAGAAGCCCGGAGGACCAAAGGCATTTAGGTAGTGATTGTGCCTGATGGCACCTGAGCACTCATCTTCGCAGGTGACTTGTCCAGCTTGTTACTTATAAAACTAAGATTAGAGTCTTGGTGGAAAAGGGACAAATTCAGAAACAAAAGAACTAAAAAGAAACAAGAAATTAGAACACGAGGGACACGGGCAGTTCCTGCTCTGGAAATTAAAAACCACTCCAGGGGCGCCTGGGTGGCTTAGTCATTGTGCGTCTGCCTTCGGCTCAGGTCATGATCCCAGGGTCCTGGGATCGAGCCCTTGCATCGGGCTCCCTGCTCAGCAGGAAGCCTGCTTCTCCCTCTCCCACTCCTCCTGCTTATGTTCCCTCTCTCGCTGTGTCTCTCTCTGTCAAATAAATAAATAAAACCTTTAAAAAAAAAAAAAAAAAACCAGTCCAGCGTGCTCCCCCTCGGCACCCTCAGCCTCTCTTCCTGTTCACCCCTCCCCTCTAAAGGATAGAGGACAAGGTCACACAGCAGGCAGATAATGTTCTCCGGATGAGTGAACAAAGGAGCCAACTGTTGTAGCCCCACTCCTTCCCATCCTCCCCCCAACCCCCCTCCCCTGTGGGCTAACCCTCCATCCCCCTCAGCGTTTCTCTGGCATTTTCCATGGGCCTCCTCTGCAAGGAATGTTTCCCTTTTCTCCACAGGCGAAGTCCTATTTGTCTTTTAAGATGCCACTTCCTGTGTGAGGTCTTTTCAACACTCCTTCCTCTCATCACCCCCTCCCCCCCACCCAGATGAGTCAGCCTTCTCAGGGCTCTCGGTGCACTAAGCTAGCTAGATGTCCAGCCACTGAGAAATAACATCAGTGAACCAGAAAAGAGTAGGGCCCCCCCCCCGGGGCGTGCCATGCCCTGCCCCTCTTTTCCAGAGCCTACAGTTCATCGTCTTCTGCCTTCTGGGCCTGGGAGGTGGGGCAAACGGGGGCCACCGGCAGGAAGGAAGCACCTCTAAATGAAAACCATTTGGGAGAGATTAGACTCTGGTTCTCTAATAAGTGCATCTTAAAACAGATTTATCAAGTTCACTGTCTGTATTGGTTTCCCATTGCTTCTGTGACAAATTACCACACACTTGGTGACTTACAGCAATGCCAATTTAATCTCATACAGTTTTGAAGGCCAGGAGTCCAAAAATAATTTCACTGGGGCAAAGTCAAGGTGTCAGCAGGGCAGCTTCGTTCTGGAGGTTCCAAGAGGAGAAATCATTTCCTTGCCTTTTCCATCTTCTAGCAGCCCCGTTTCCCCAGCTCGTGGCCCCTTCCTCAATCTTCAATCCCTCCAAATCTTCAATCCCTCCAACCTTCAATCCCTCCAAACTCTGCCCACAGAATCACATCACCTTCTCCTCTTCTGTAGTCACATCTCCCTCTGTTCCCCCTTAAAAGGACTTGTGACTGCATTTGGGACCCACAGGGAAGATCCTAGATAATCGCCCCATAAATGGGGCGATTTTAACTTAATCCCATCTGCAAGGTCTCTTCTGGGGTAACATTCACAGGTTTCAGAGATAAGAACATGGATGTCTTGGGGAGCCATTATTCAGCCTACCACACCATCTTTAATTCCACAAGTATTTATTGAGTGGCACTGTGCAAAGTTAAGCAGCTTTATTTTTTTAAGAGAGAGAGAGAGCAGGGAGAGTGGCAAAGGGAGAGAGAGAGAATCTCAAGCAAGCTCCACACTCAGCATGGAGCCCCATGTGGGGCTCGATCTCATGATCCTGAGATCATGACCTGAGCCAAAATCAATGGTCAGATTCTTAACCAGCTGAGCCACCCAGGTGCCCCAAAGTTAAGCAACTTTTTGCAAGGCACCGTAACATTAAAACAAAAAAGGAAATGAATGTTCCTTCAGAGGAAATGTACTTTCTCAGTTCAGAACAATGGCCATAAGGGCATAGGGGTACTCTACTCTCACCTGGAGGTTCTCACTGACATCTCAACTCTTCCCTCCACAGGTGGCCTTGGATTCAGTGACCTGTATTTGGGGAATCAAAGTGGAGAGAACAGAAATGTGGGTAGGAAATTAAGCAAGAAGAACAATGTGATAAAGGGAAATATTTTGGTTTTATTTTAAAATAACTTTTAAAAATTATTTTCAATGAGTACTATAGCCACACTGCATAAATTCGGACAAAGGAAAAAATTACCTAGGACTCAGAGCCATAACCAACCACTGTGACATTTAGGCAAATTACTTTCATGATTTTCTCTCCATGGAGTTAAAATAATTTTTTGAGATAAAATTCACATAACATAAAAACTCACCATTATAACCATTTTAAAGTACGAGTGTTTTTATTATATTCATGGAGTGGTGTAACCATCATTACTGTCTAATTCCAGAACATTTTCATCACCCCAAAAAGAAAGCCCACACCTGTCAAGCAGGGACTCCTCATTGCTCCCTTTCCCCCCAGCCTGACGACACTAATCTCTGTGTACTTGGCTATCCTGGACATTTCATACAAATGTTACATGGCCTTTTATGTTTGGCTGCTTTCATTTAGCATGTTGTTTTCAAGGTTCATCTGTGGTGAAGCAGGAATCAGGACATCATTCCTTTTGACGGTCAATTAATATCCATTGTGTGGTTACAGCTCATTTGGTTAACCTGCTCGTTCGCTGATGGACATTTGGGTTGTTTCCACTTTAGGACTATTCTGAAGAACACTGCAGTGCCCGTTCATGTGCAAGATTTTGTGGGAACATGTTTTCACATATACCTAGCAGTAGAATTGCTGACTCGTATAGTAACTCTATGTTTAACTCTCCATGGAACTGCCAGATTGTTTTCTGGCTATGTCATTTTCGTAGTTACAAACAGGGTAAAAATACAATTTTGTATCCTTTATGTAATAACGTTAAGTATTACTCTTATGCGGTCAGTTCTACTCTTTTCAAAATCAATTCCTTCATAAACTTAGATGCCTTCCCCTATCACGGATAGTATGGCTCATCAAAGCTGTTTTTCATTGTTCAAATTTAATAGCTGGGATTTAGATTAAACCTTAAGTAGGAAAAATCATAATCATCTATCGACTAAAGAATGTGTTCTCCTTGCACAGAGCAAACCAGGGTGCTGCTGTAACATCAGTGATCGTGTGTCTGCAGTTGAGGCACTGACTTTCGAGCGGCCCTTCTCTGCCCACCATTGGCCTTAGAGGTCTAGGGACGGCCACCCTGTTAGATCAGAATTTGCCGGGCATCCTGAAATAACAGAGACGTTGGCCAGTCTGGCTGAACCCCTGGCTGCTAAAAGCAGTGCTGCACACCTACCTGTCCACGCTCTTTCTTTTCCAGCAAGGATGTCAGGCTGCCGGCGGGGCTCCAGCACTCCCTGGCTGTGGAGGCCGAAGCGCAGAGACAGGCCAAAGTGCGGGTGAGCCAGTGCAGCGCAGGCCCGCCCCCCACTGAGAACATTTCCCGCTGCTTCCTCACCTCCCACTCCTCCAGAGCTGGTGCCCCCCACCCCACCCTATTAAAAGTATTCCCTTAAAGTGTGTTCATAGCCGCCTGACTAATGCCACCCAGCCTTTTCCGCGATGCCCTCTCTCTGAAGCCACTGGAAACAGTGAGCTCCTCCTCCTCCTCGCGTCTTGCCTTCACTCGCTCTCCTGAAAGGCATCCTCCCCCTCCCCCCCCCACCCCCGCCATCCCTCTTCCCTCGAGCTGGCATCTTTCCTTGGTAATATCAGCCACCTGTCACCTCTGTGTTAATGCGTGAATGACAGCAGACCTGTATCCCTAGCTGCGTGCAGGCTGTGGAGGGATGACCACGATGAGGCCCGATTCGCTCAATGCCAGAGCCAAGAGAAGGTCACGCCAGGCAGGCCTGCCGGCCGCACAGCGCTAGCCACCAGCAGCTCCTGGGGATGGAGGTGGGGGTGGGAGGGGTGCTGGGAAAAGGAAGAGGAGGACTGAAGGGGAGACAGATTGCTCTTAAAGAAGAGAAAGCAAGTGAAGAACCCCACCACAGAGGAGCTCAGTAACCGAGGAGTGTTGAGAGGAGGAAGGGAAGAAAGTGGTCCTCTGGGCAGAGTTGCTTCTAGATCTGAGTCTAGTCCTCTTAGTCCACTTTAAGGTGGCATTTGGGTGGTGAGCTTCGTGCTTTTTCCTCTGAAATGCTCACTCGTTCATTTTGCCCTGGTTAGGAGTCCCCGCTTCAGGCTTCCACGTCCTCGCCTAGAATGCTGGCCAACTTTTTCTCAATATGGCAAAATCCTACTAATCGTTCAAGGCCCTGCAGACATAATTTTTTTTTTTTTAAGATTTTATTTATTTATTTGACAGAGAGAGAGACAGCGAGAGAGGGAACACGAGCAGGGGGAGTGGGAGAGGGAGAAGCAGGCTTCCTGTGGAGCAGGGAGCCCGATGCGGGGCTCGATCCCAGGACCCTGGGATCATGACCTGAGCCGAAGGCAGACGCTTAACGACTGAGCCACCCAGGAGCCCCACCTGCAGACATAATAACTCCCCTAACACATCACTATGCTTGTCAGGGCCCTTGACAAATTCGGCCCTAAATTACAACAAAGAGTGCAGCCAATCTCCCCTAGACCAGGATCCTTGAGCAAGAAGGCCGTCAGCCTGCTGGCTGCTTCACAGGGCCTGGCGCCAGGCGGTGCTCCGTGCTCGTTCGCTGAGGGACACTGAATAGTGAGTAAGAACAAACCACTTTGCTTCTCCTCACATCTGTTCCCAGGTGATCGCTGCGGAGGGGGAGAAGGCCGCGTCCGAGTCCCTGAGAAGGGCAGCTGAGATTCTGGCAGGCACTCCGGCCGCTGTTCAGCTGCGCTACCTCCACACCCTCCAATCCCTGTCCACCGACAAACCTTCCACGGTGGTTTTGCCTCTGCCATTTGACTTGCTCAATTTCCTGTCTTCGCCCGGCAGTAGAACTCAAGGAAGCCTCCCCTTCCCCAATCCTTCCAAACCTGTCGAGCCACCAAGTCCTAAAAGGAAAGACTCTCCCATGCTATAGGAGGAGCCACGGGGAACGGGCCTGGAAGGGGCCTGTCAGGCGACAGCCACATCCCCGAGGGAGGCACGCTGTCCTCACGTCCCGCGCTTGCTTCGGTGGCCACACGGAATACCCTTGGAATGCACAGTCACAGCTCAGCAATTCGAAACAATTGTGAGGGACAGTGAGATGATGTAATGACAAGTTTAGATGGATCATTTTAATTAGAGAAACTATGGGAGAGAGCTTTAGCCAACATTCTACTCTGGAAAGAATTTTATGTCTATTTTGCTGTATGCCCCCTGGCCCCTTTGGCAAGGTCTTTGCTGCTCCCGTGGCCTTTTTATTGTGTTCATCACACATTATTGTAATCCTGTAGTTAAGATGCAGGCTTCTCTCCAGCTGTACTATGAACTCCTCAAAGGCACATCTTGGTCATTGGCTCCCCCCACCCCCCCCCAACTATATTCAACCTTGTATGTTCCACCCTATGGTCTTCACATCTAACCCTGATAGGTGCACCACAGTGACACTTAAATGTTCCCGAGCGAATGAAAGAAGATGTACTTGGGCTGGATATAAAATGTACATCTAATTAAAAGAATTTAAAAGGAATTCTTTTTATGGAGCCTCCTTTTTAAAATAGAGAAATAAAAGGACAAAAACATTTACCTGATACATGTTGCTTAAAATCTTAAGAAGCATCACTGTAAACATGGGATGGATGTATTCTCAGTATAGCATTTACCTCAAACAGTAATGACATTATGTGACCTATACATGTCCTGAAGCATTCTTTTCTAGTACAGATATTCTTTAATATAAATAGATTCTTATAAGTCTTACTTTCCATTAACTTGTCTTACTCAATTAGAAATATGTATCTATAGGGGCACCTGGGTGGCTCAGATGGTTGGGCGTCTGCCTTCGGCTCGGGTCATGATCCCGGGGTCCTGGGATCGAGCCCCACATCGGGCTCCTGGCTCAGTGGGGAGCCTGCTTCTCCCTCTGCCTCTCTCCCTGCTCGTGCTCTCTCTCTCTCTATCTCTGTGTCTCAAATGAATAAATAAAATCTTTAAAAAAAAAAATGTACCTATAGAAAAAAATTAGCCAAATAAGAAAGCATCCTGAGGTATACAGCAAATCCTCTATAGACTTAAAAAAATCAATAATATTATAAAATCTTACTAACATCCCCAAAATATTACTAATATCGTGTATGTTAGTAAAATGCTACTTATAATAGGAAGTTCCATGTTGGTAGTACAGAAGGAAATAGTGGTATCCCTAAGTGAGAACTTTAAACATTTTACATAAACACACCTGTAAAGGGTTTTTGTTTATGAATGTTAACCCATAAAACCCTACAGCGCATTATTTCAAGAGAGAAAATGTATTCTGATCTCCTAAGAATGGACCTAGAAACTTTTATAGCATTGTGTCTGTTGGGGATGGGCTGGTTCCCCACTATGTTTAAGTAACAGAAACAGGGCCCATGATCAAGGATGCTTTGCCTCTCGATCACTTCCACACTTCTGCCCTCTCTGCCTTTCCTCCTGTTTTCCAACAAAAAAAGACCAAAAACTCCCTAGTGGCACATGCTAATACAGCAGTATATAATGATGCCATCCTAGGGCCATCTCTGTCCTACACCTCTAAGCCTCCTTCTCACCTCCATCCACAGCTGGGAAAGCCACACACTCTAGCCCAAGCCTTCAAACCTGAGGGTATTGGCCAAGCAATGCATCTTCCCAAGATTATGCAGAACTGCTAGATGATTTCAAAACCCACATATTCATACAATCATGCCCAATTCGTTTATTATTTTAGCAATCAGCTTATATGGTTACTATGTACTGAGATGATAACTTTGAATTTTGTTTCAAAAGGCTATTTCATCCATTTCTGAAAAATATTTCCATATCTTCTCAAAAGAAGTTTCCCTCCCTACTCCCAAGGACCATACTTGGTTGTGGGGGAGTGGCAGTGCTGAGAGCCATAGGTTGATTAGTCTCGGCTGGAGGCAATGGGAGATTCTGAAGCCAAAGGAGCAGGCAAAGCTTTAAACCAGAAGTGCCAAAATACAAAATATGGAATCCAAAAGGCTGCCAAATCCAAGTAAGCCAAAAGCAGATACCTAAATCTGCCAAAAGTAGGGTACCAGAGAGAGGAAAGCAAGCACTGAGGAGGCAGTAATAGATAGGATGAGAGTTGGGGAAAATTCCTGGGTGATTTCCTAGAATATCTAATAGATGGGGTTTGCGGTTTGCTTTTGTGGACCAGCCAGGGCATGGTCATTGATGATCCAGCCCATTTAAAGGACCAATTAGGAGTGAATGCCAGGGTAATAATAATAATGGCTTTTAAGACCCTTAAGAATTCCTTGTAGCATGGCTCCTTTTGTCAAAGGCAGATTTACCTACAGGTGTGGGGAGTTATGGTATCACCCATTCGTTGGTCTCCTCTGCTGTCTGGCTCAGTCAACATTTAAATTTCTCACTAGCTTGCCAGAGGGCACCTTCCAGCTCTGCTCAAGCAGCCTGTGATATCTTCAACTATTAACTGACCATTGGGATGGGAGTGTTTGATGGGTGGGAAATATCAGGACTAAGTTGTATGAAACTGTGAATGGTCAAGGGAAACTCTGTTGAGACTAGCAAGGTGAGCTGATCGTGCTGTCTGCAAGTTCCCAGCAGCAGAAGTCTCCTCTTGACACCAGGAGCTACCTTCTAGCTAGTTACTGATCTTGAAATGATGTGTGGAGGACAAGTTGGACAGTACAATCCAAAACTAAGGTGTGTGGGACGCCTGGGTGGCTCTGTCGGTTAAGCGGCTGCCTTCGGCCCAGGTCATGATCCCAGGGTCCTGAGATCAAGCCCCACGTCGGACTCCTCGCTCAGCAGGGAGTCTGCTTCTCCCTTTCCCTCTGCCTGCCGCTCCCCCTGCTTGTGCTCTTTCTCTCTCTCAAAAAAAAAAAAAAGACTTCCCTTCAGCCCCCTGAGCTCCCCAACACGCTTTCAATAAATTAGCCTTCTATGTGTGTTTGCAAGAGTGGGTTTCTCTGACTCACAACCAAACCACCTAACTAGGTGCCAAACATCTCATCCTAATTGTAGTGGCAGCAGGCTTAACTCTGGCCTTTAGAGACTGAGCCATCCACCCAATGGAGCTGCCACGTTCTGAGGGGCAAGGTTCTCATGTTCAGGGAGAGGGGCTGCTGATTTGTATGGAAATGACCACTCATTCCTGCAAAGTGGGAAATCAATTAAGAAGTATTTGGAGGGACACCTGGGTGGCTCAGTTGGTTAAGCGTCTGCCTTCGGCTCAGGTCATGATCCCAGGGTCCTGAGATCGAGTCCCGCATCGGGCTCCCTGCTCTGTGGGGAGCCTGGCGCTCCCCCTGCTTGTGCTCTCTCTGACAAATAAATAAAATCTTAAAAAAAAAAAAAAAAAAGCAGCATTCGGAAATCCCACCAAAAAGCCTCCAAATTTTCTAGGATCACCTAAGAATCTCTTTGGGAAAGGGTAGGGCTGGCTATGCCCCAGCAAGCAAGAACTGTAAGCAGGGGTCAAGAGCGGCAGCTCTGGCTGTCAGCTGGGCCACAAGCACAGCCAACTGTCTGAAGTCAGGTTTCTTTGCTCAGACTTCAAGAGTCATCCAGTGGGCTCAGGCGGACAGACCCTAAGCATTTTTGAAACCCATCTTATACCTACTTTGATGATGGCAGAGGCAGGCCTGGCCAGGGACTGGGCTGAAAAAGACTGAGGACTCTGAGTCACAGGGTTTCTGAGGCTTAGGGAACAGGCAAGGGTCTAAAATTTGGAGATAAATCCAAAGGAACAGCAAATATGTGAGCCAAAGCAGGTGCATAGGTATTTGGAGCCAGAGATCAGAGCAAATGCAGGTGTGCCGGGAGCAGTAAGGTAGGAGGGGGTCCTTGCCGAGTGCTTGCTCCAAATGTCCATTTGTCACTCGCAACTTATTTTTGCAGGTTAGTCCATCTCTAGTGCCTCAATGGATCCGGGGTCATGAACAGAGCAGACAAGTGAGGCGATCAAAGCAAAAAAATGGCGATTCTGGGTGAATCTTCAGCAGCATTCCTAAATTTCAGTACAATCTTCCATTCTTTCCCTGTGAAGGAAACCATCTGAGCAGTGGCCTGGTGGCCCATCACTACTGTCAAACATCCAGACACAGGTCCAGTAAGCAGGGGCCTCTGACACCCATCAGTTCTGTGACCTTGGGGAGTCTTATAACCATTTGGGGGGGCCTCAGTTTAATCTTCTGAGAAATGGGATAATAACAGCATCTCCCCCACCTACTTTGTAGGGTTATTGTGAAAATCAAATAAATCATAAAAATGCCTGAAATCATAAGAAATCTGAAAATGCTGCCAAAACCCAAGAGCATCATCAGGCTCCTCTCTTTTAAATTGAAAAAATAATGCTTTGTATTTGCCACTCTTTGCAGAGTTCAGAGTTTTCAAAAAACATTATTTGCTTGACAGGAACTAACACTTTTCACAGACCTCTGTTAGGAAATCATTTGAAGAGGCCAGCAAACTTTACAAGCTATTTTTAATCCGGGAGATAAACTAATGCACTTACTCCCTACAGCTTTCACTGTGACTTTTAAAGAGAAAATATTCTTGGGTTGTATGTCATGACTTTTCTAGTAGCTGTTGCACAGGGAGCCCCTCCAGTTGAGCCACAGGGTCAGCTAAGTAGCACACAGAGATCAGTGAGGGGAGCCCTGCTGAAGCCCAGCACCCTAAGGATGCTACTTGGACTTGGTCTTGGATTTAGTCCGGGGTCTGGGTTTAGGGTTGAGAGGACCTTCCTTGCGCTGTACCTCTGAAAAGACAAAAAAAAAAAATCAGTATTGTAGTAACAATATCTAATATTTACTAAGGACTTTTAACTTTACAAAGCTTTTTAAAAATTCCATTCTGGGGCACCTGGGTGGCTCAGTTGGTTAAGCTACTGCCTTCAGCTCAGGTCATGATCCTGGAGTCCTGGGATCGAGTCCCACATCGGGCTCCCTGCTTAGCAGGGAGTCTGCTTCTCCCTCTAACCCTCCCCCTTCTTGTGCTCTCTCTCTCTCATTCTCTCTCTCTCTCAAATAAATAAATAAAATCTTTAAAAAAAAAAAAAAATCCATTCTGCCTGAGTAACTCCCAAGCTATAAACAGGCAGTATGCCCAAAATTTGACTCTAAGTTGGTTACTGGGATTCAGAATGCATTTTCCCAAAGTTAAAGTGTAATCAGTTAGTTACCTGAGTTCTGGGTCCTGGAAAAGAGGACTATGCGATCAGGGAGCACAGAGAAACAGAAAGAACATTTCCACCTTCCTTCCTATACATATCCCAAGCTTGGCGGAAACAAGACAATTCAAATAGAGCTAGTATCCAAAGTCCTCCCACACCCATTCCTGCACTCCTGTTCTGTCTCCTGGTCCCTCTGTGCACAGCCTTCTGTGCACAGACCCGACTCAGGCCCAGCCCTCGGGATGGAGGCAGGAGGCCTCTCGCCATCAAGCCAGCTCTCCCTGGCCACTCCATGACACCAAGCTTCCCACTTTGAATCTTTCTGACAGGCTGCTGCCACCTCCATCCCACACTTGGTCATCTTGTTCATGCCCTTGTCTTGCTCTTAGTGTCTCTCCTGGCTCCTAGCTCCTAACTGTAGGCTTCACTGAGATTAGAGCCTAAGCCACTACTCATCTTCGTAAACTTCCCTCTCTATCTTGTCTTCATTCACAGCTCAGAGCACAATGATTTGCTAATTATTAAAAAGACTGACACAAAAACAAAAATAAATATGTCTTCTGCTCCGTCCAGATCTTCCCCCTGTCCTGCATCCACAAGCCTTTACCATACACTGCACAACTCTAGAGGGAAATGTGATCTCATACTCTAAGTCACACAAAAATGATGCTGCATATGCCATAGGAATCTCATATTGCTCTGGAGGGTCTGCATTTTTCAAAGGAGCTGCCTGCGAACCCTAAGGAATGCCCAACTTACAGATTTTCTGGGGAAAAGGTTCAGGTCTCCTACATGGCATGAGACGGGCTTGGCTTAGGAGCCAATTCCCCTAAGCTTTGCAGAGCCTCTCATCCTCCACCTCTGAGCCCCCGGGAATCACTCTGAGGGAATATTTGGAAGGAGGGCGAAGGGTGGCTATGTTTGTGCAGGCAATTGTTTATATAGATTGGGGACTAACTGTATATAGTTATCCTCTACTTAAAATTATTAATACTTTTCATTCTGGATTTAACCTCATCCCCAAGATCTTTATGGAAATGGAAGAAAATAACATCACTCATTCCATACTGAGCTAACCTCTCCAGTTTAACATGCAGGTCTTTTGCATGGTTTGCATATTTATTTTTCTGTAATCTGGAAAAAGTCTAGTTTTCAAACCATCAGGATAAAATTACAGTGTAAGATGAAAATTTTTTAATCCACAAAAACTATCTCCCATATATTCAAACCTAAAGCTAAAGGATTGTCACGCTTGGAATAATTAGCATCTTACCAGTTGAGAGGTAACAGGAGGAGAGAAAATGAGCTCAGTCTGGTGATAGTACAAACACAACGTACCTGGGTGGGAGACTGTGGGGCACTAGCTAACCAACCGCTTTGGCTGGGGGCATAGGTGAAAATAGGGATGAGACAGAGACAGAAGTCGCTATCCTCCCTGTCCTATCCCTTGCACCAGGAATTGTCCTGGGAACACACCAAAGGGTGAAGGTGAGAGTAAAAATAAAAAACTAGCCTCCAATCCTGGGGTTTACTGAAAACTGCCTGAGGGCAGGTTATTGCACTAATTAGAGATAAGAAAATAAAGAGTTAAATTCCTTTTCCTGTAGAATAATGGTGATTATTTCCATCATAGAAAATCAAACAAGTACCAAAAACCAAAGTCAAAATTCCCCACAAACCTCCATCAACCAGAGACAATGTCTTTCAATATTTGGATACAATTTCCTTCTCGGTCTTTTTTCCAGCTTTATAAAAGTGTGTTTTCTTGCATTTGATATTCAAACATAAGAATTTCCAGGGCACCTGGGTGGCGCAGTCAGTTAAGCATCTGACTCTTGGTTTTGGCTCAGGGCTCAGGTCGTGACCTCAGGGTCGTGAGATCAAGCCCTGCATCAGGCTCTGCACTCAGCGTGGAGTTTGCTTGGGTTTCTCTCTCCCTCTGCCCCTCCCCCTGCTCATTCTCACTTCTCTCTCTCCCTAAAATAAATTTTAAAAAAAGAATTTCCTGGGGCACCTGTGTGGGTCAGTTGGTTAATCATCTGCCTTCAGCTCAGGTCATGATCCCAGAGTTCTGGGATTGAGCCCCGCATCAGGCTCCCTGCTCAGCAGGGAGTCTGCTTCTCCATCTGCCCGTCACCCCACTCATGCTCTCTCTCTCTCTCTCTCTCAAATAGATAAAATCTTTTTTAAAAATTTCCATGTCATTATAAACCATTTTAATAGTGGTATACTATTCAAGTATATTAGTATAACATAATTTAACTTTTCTTCCATAATTGGAGATGTAGGTTGCCTCTATTATATACAATGATACATTGAACAACTTTGTGCATTAATCTTTTTTTCTGTATTTAGGATTATTTCCTTGGACTAGATCTTCAAGAATAAAATTATTAGGTCAAAGTATATGCATGTATTTAAGGGATATCTATACAAACTCTCAAATTATTTTCTGAAAAAGTTACCTGTCTGTCCACCCACAAGTATTACCTGTAAAACAAACTAGTTTGCCCCTTGTGACCAGCATTATATTCTTTCGTTTTTAAAAATCTTTGCCAGTTTTAGAAGCAAAACTTGTATTTTATGTTAGTTTCTTAGTCTACGATTGTTAGTCATTTGTTTTTCTTTTTGTGAGTTGTCTGAATAAGATAGTTATATAGTTAAATGTATGTATATTCCTATGAAAAATATGAACCAGTAAATCAGTACTAAAAATATTTTATATTCTTCTAGGATATTTGTGACCCAAACATGTTTTGTTTCATAAATATAACCTAAATAAAGCAAAATGAGAAAGCAAGCCTCACCTTTCTTTAGAGATTTTGGAGAATGTTCTACTGGTCTGATTTCTTCATTATTGTCATCTTCTTCATCTTCTCCATCTTCTCTTTCTCCTTCATTTTCTTCTTCTCTTCCTTCAAACTCCTTCTCTCTAGACCTCATCAAAATAGCCTCTAATTCTCTCTCCAGTTCTTTATTTCTTATAAGGGTATAATGAAGTTTCTCATTTACATCCTCAAACTTCTCCTCTGCTTGTCTGGCTCTGCTTTCAACCTCTCTGATGGGGACAGAGTCCAGAGAAACACAACAAAATGGAAAGGTTTGAAAAAGTATCTTTCACGTATAGAAACTCATTGTCTAGAAGAAGCAGTAGAATTAGCTAACTGCATCTGAAAGGTACAAATAAGGGAGGCAGGAGCATCAATCCTTAGGCAAGAACTGGGGTCCAGGACGCTACTTTGGATGGTAATGTCAGCGTGACAGTCATGCTGTGATTTAAGAATGCAATGTATTTATCAGCTCTGGGTGAAATCTGACCTTTGGGTATTTGGAATTCTCCATCAATAGGCAAGGAATCCCTTTTCAGGAGCTAATTTTGGCTTCTCTTCATTGATGTGATCCAACAAACTAAGTCCAGTAGTTTCCCTTCTTTGCCCAGGACCTCTAAAACCAAATTTTAAAACCAAGAAAACTAGTTTGAAATGTGCTTCTTACTTCCTAGAGTACATGTTCTACGTCTACATGGCTATGCTCTTCTCTTCGCATTCTCGACCATCTTAACTATACTGTCCTTCCTACTCTTCAGCGTATGTAGCATTCTTTCTTGAACAGAGTAGTTTCTCCTGGTTCCATTTACATCTCTAGCTCATCTCTTAGAAGCATACTGGATAGATCACTCCTAACACCCTATTCCCCACATACACACACTTTCACTTCCTCCATCTCCACTGTGGGTGAGGATGGATGTTTTATGCGAGCAGTAGAATTCATTGCCTCCAGCAGAAGATTTGGAGATACCCATCCCACTAATAAGGATAAAAGAAGCAGAACAAACAAAGGTAAGCCGAGAAGCATGGATTTCCCAGCCACACCTCCTGGCCAGCAATCTTTGTAATTACCATCGTGGTGCCTCATACTCACAATAACTTCTCCTGTGTGCGTTCAATGATAGCCATTGCTTCAAGATACTTTGGGGCCAATGTACCTCGATTCGCTGATTCTCTCTGACAAAGGAAATATGCATTATGAATGAACTGAGAGTCCCAACAGTTAATACTCTACTTCTTCAGGATGTTCTGCACCAAACCTTCCAGAATATTTTTTTCTACTATCCATATTTATAAAGTAGATGATTAAGCACAATCTTAACACCAAAAAAGAATAGGGATTACCTGTGGCCACATAGCATACCAGCTTCCAAATTATTCATGCTATGGGTGGATAAAATTTGATTAGAATTGTAAAAAAAGCAGGGAAAACAGTATCAACAAAAAGAAACAAGGAAGAAAAGGTTTAAAAATAAAGAGAATGGTAAACATGTTCCTATAATAAATCAAGTTAATGATCAAAGAGATTGACTATATTTTTCTTAATAATTTACTTCACTAAGCTCTTAACATTGCAAAATCCAGTCAGATCGTTTAGTTCGTAGGGAACTTCATAAATATCAAGGCAGTGAAAATATGAAGAAAAAACAACTCTTTCATTTATTTTGACTCTAATACATTCTAGGAAAAAAAATAAGAGGAAGGTAAAAGAAGGTATTTAGAAAACCAAAATTATAAGCATATTTAAAAATAAATATTATACCATTTTCCCAGAACTGTGCACCTTTTTTTAAAGTATTGTTGACACACGACGTTACATTACTTTCAGGTGTACAGCATGCTGACTGGACAAATCTCAACAGTACACTATGCTCACCACAAGTGTGGCTACCATAAGCACTATTATATGTCACTGGTTATATTCCCTATGCCCTACATCTCATCCCCATGACTTATTCATTCTGGTCACTGGAAGCCTGAACCTCCCACTCCCCTTCACCCCCCTTTTTGCCCAGAACTGTGTTTAAAATCTCATCTATCCATGCTTCCCAACCTGAGGAACGTAAAACATAAGCCCTACATTATAGATGGAAAGGGAGCTTGAAGAGGGTAGGCAGCCTGCCATCCTCACAGAAGGATCTAGTGGGTTAAAGCAAAACCCTCATCAAGGCCTCTTCGTTCTCAACCACACAACCCATTGCACTCTGCTAGCTTTTTCTAAAGGAAAACCAGAGAAAAGAAACTATGTTAAACATTTTCACTTTTACTCTAGCTCTTCTACTCTTATTTCCCCAGTCACCTATTCTCCTCTTTCTGTTTTGCTCCCTTTTCTTGAGTAGCTTATTTGGAAAGTAAATGGCGCTCACTGTCCAGCCGGGACCCGCAGCACGGGACATGGCTGTGCCTAGGCCGCACACGCCACTCACTTAGTTGTTCTTTGAGCCCAAAAGAAAGGTTTTCAGAGCAGAGGCTTCTGGAGCTGGAATTCCACACATGGTTTACAGCTGTATGAAACAACTTGATAGGTAAACCAGAGTAAACCAGGACTGTACTCTGTGTACACGTGAGCCTTCAGACTCCGCATTCGTTCAACAGATATACAGTGGACCCTGGAACTACATGGGTCTGAACTATGCGGGTCCACTTGTACATGGACTTTTTTACAGTCCACCACTGTAAATGTATTTTCTCTTCCTTATGATTTTCTTAATAACATTTCCTTTCCTCTAGCTTACTTCATTGTAAGAATACAGTATATAATACATAGAACATACAGAATGTGTGTTCAATGACTGTTTATGTTATCTGTAAGGCTTCTGGTCAACAGTGAGCTAGTGGTAGTTAACGTGGGCCTCATGGCTCTTGGCAGTAACTGCCTTGGTCCTTCCTTGTTTGTGCCAATCTGCTGCAGCTTTGCACTTGGTCTCTGACTCCCATTCTCTCTTTGACCTTTTTGACTTGATCTTCCTCAGGTTTGACTCTACTTACGGGCTTCTGACTGGACAGTATCTCCAGTTTGGGTCTATCTCAGGGAGGATCTGGCCGCAGGCCCAGCTCCTTGGGATCCAAGCACTGACATAGTGCCTCATCAGCTTTGGACGTATTTTCTAGAACCACCAATTCCAACAGCCCTTCCCTGTTGCTGTTATAAAATGAGTAAATTAGTCGCTGCTCTGGTGTACGTACATGGTACAGTGAGAGGGAAACACAGATGTCTAAGGGCCACCTTCAGCCCAATAACAGAAGGGAGGGCAGAAAGTCTAATCTTATGTTAAAAATACTGCTGATGCCCCCAAGTCTGGCCCCTGTTCATCCTCAGTTCACAGGCGATCCAGCAAACTCTCCCATCTCCCTCATACACTTATCACTCTTTATAGACAGCCAGAATCTCTGGTGTGAAGATGAGCCTGAAAGAGACTGTTTCTAATATCTTGCTTGTTGGGGTCGCTGAGCTGTGGGCAGCGCTGCTCATACGGCCAAGCAGCGGCACTTGGGGGCCAGTGTAGCTCAGAGCCCTTTTGGTATTACCTCCGAGAGAGCTGGTGGGTTGAGTCACCCCCTATCTCCTCCAGTCAGCTGAGATGTTACAGAATTCTGGCTGCTTGTCCTGCAGGAACAGTGTTGGAATGATTGCGATTTGGAGAGGGCCATAAGCGGTGCTGTATGACCAGGTTCCAGAACTGATTGAACTGGGCCGCAGCTGAAGGCAGAGCGGCCTTCTCCCAGGAGGGGCAGCGGCAAAGTCGATGCAGCTTAATGGCATCACTGGGTTCACCAGTGAATAGAGCCCAGTGCCAAATTGGGTGTGCCTGTTTCAGGCACAGCAGGCCATGTCATGTACACGGGGCCTGCTGTGAGTACACTCCTCAGGAATTCCCACAGAGCCCTAACTCCCAGCTAATTGAGGAGCATTTTGCATAGTGGATGGCCCAGCCCCATTATGGTGGACACTAGGCATCAGGCAATGGTATGAATGAGGCCAAGCTATTAGTCTGCCCAAGCTGGTGGTGACTTACCACCCCTCCTGTTGAGATATCATTCATATCTCAACCCCCAGAAAAATCCCATCCCAGAGTCACCTGCAGGAAGGGATAGTAAGAGTAACTGGAATCTCCATGCTCAGGTCCATAGCTTCTCAGAGGTCTGGAGCTATTTCTTGCTAGAAACCTGGGACCCCTCTATCTCTTGGAGCTTTCCAGTTTCACAGCTCAGTTCCCAGGGACATGACAAGTTATACCTGCACACACAGGCTTTCTGCTTCCCGAGCCCTTCCTTTTTCCTTTCCCTCCCCAGTGCTAATCAAATGGACTGCCTCCTGGGAGCTGTGTTTTTAGACCAGCGGGGGAGTGCCACTGCCCGAAAGGTCTGGTATCCCTGCGAAATGGTATTTATGTCCTTAGGACCAGAGACTGTCTGCCCAAAAATAAACAAATAAAGGGAAAAAATGAGCAAACAAAAGCACAAGAAAAACTTACAGTAAAAGTTTTGAAACCTTAAAGTGCCCTCAGAGAGCCCCAGGACTTTCGTGAATGACAAGTGCACAGAGCTCAGGCGCCACCCGCCCCCGCCCCGCCAGCTCCTCCTGGCCTGCAGCGCAGTCTAAATCAAGACAGCCCTTCCCCAGCCCCAACTCTGCCCCACATCTCTGACCTCACAAGCCAATTCAAGGAATCTTCATTCTCTGGGCACCCACATCCCCAAATACCAACTTTGTCTCTGCTGGCCTAGCACAATTAGGTCCCTTCTGTTTGGGCACCCGGTGATCCCTTTCTGCCTGTGAGTGTTCAAGCTGCCATCCCATAGGATGAACGTGATTCTTCTTTACCTCCAGGAAGTAACAAGTAACTATATACCAGCTGCCATGTGGGTCCATGCCCCAGACCTTATGGTCACTGAGAACGTAAACAGTTCGATCTTCAGTTATCTAGAGTAGCAGCATTAACAAACTTCCAGAGCCCAGAGATAGAGTTTCTGGGCCACACTGTCCTCACGTGAGCTAGTCACGTGCTACCACACCATGTCAGCTGGAAAGGCAGCATCCTGGAGCAGGAGACCGCCACCATTAAAAACAAGCCCCGGGGGGCAGAGCAAGATGGCGGAGGAGTAGGAGACCTGGATTTCGTCTCCTCTCAGGAATTCAGCTGGATAGGGATCAAACCATTCTGAACACCTACAAACTCAACAGGAGATCGAAGAAAAGAAGAGCAACAACTCTCTCATCAGAAAAGCGACCACTTTCTGGAAGGTAGGACGTGCGGAGAAGTGAATCCGAGGCGATATTTGGGAGGATAGACGGCGGGGGAGGGGCCTCCGTCGGCCGCTTCTGGCAAATGATAGAGCCACGGAGCACAAAATCGGAACTTTTAAAAGTCTGCTCTGCCGAGGGACGTCACTCTGGTGGCTAAGTGGGGGGTGGAACCCTCCGGGACAGTGTGGTCTCAGGACCCTCGGGGTCACAGAAAGACCGGGGGTGCCTGAGTGTGGCAGAGCTCCCAGGTAACTGAGCAGAGAAGCTGGCTGCAGAGGCAGAGCCCAGGCGTGGGCTCTCAGCTCGGGGTGGCCATAAACCGTGATCCGCGGCACAATTGGGCCCCTGCTCCTCCAGCAGGGACCCAACAAGCGGCAGATCCGGGGAGACTCACCTTCCTCCCCCCGGAAGGAGCCGCGCGGGAGTGCACCGCAGGGATCTGCTGGGTTTGGAGACTCCACCCGGGGTTGGGTGCCAGAGATAGAAACACGCGGTCACAGGCTGGGTGAGCACGGAGTGCGGCTGGAGACCAGGGAGACGGGAGGGACTGACGGCTTTTCTTGGGGGGCTCACTGAGGAGCGGGGCCCCAAGTTCTCGGCTCCTCCAGAGCAGAGATTGGGAGGCCGACATTTTCACTCTCCGCCTCCAAACCTCTACGGAAAGCTCACAGGGAACAAAAGCTCTGGAGAGCAACCCGAGCAAATAACTTAGCCCAGACCGGGCAAGGGCAGGGCAATTCCGCCTCCGGCAAAGACATTTGGAAACCACGGCAACAGGCCCCTCCCCCAGAAGATCAGCGAGAACAGCCAGCCAAGACCAAGTTTACCAATCAATGAGAACGGCAGAACTCCAGCGCTAGGGGAATACTACACATAGAATTCATGGCTTTTTTTACCATGATTCTTTAGTCTTTCAAAGTTAATTTTT